TAAATTTTTTGCGGAAAAATATACCAAAACATCCAAATCTTTTAACAAACAAAAGTAAGTTTTCAAAAGGATTTATAAAGGCATAACACTTAATATAATATACTAGATATGACAACAAGGTATTGGAATATTTTGATAGCCAAGAGTCATTATAAAATGATACTGATAATGACATACAATCCTATACAATTTATAGAAAGTTACTACTAGTTGACTATTTATTAGTATATTTTGATTATTAATAAATATTACCAATACTTATAAATTGGAAAAACATTATTTTATAAAAATAATATTTTACCAGCATATTAAAAATTATTGTTTATAAGAAATAATAATAATAGAGAACAAACTAATCATAATTCATATGATATGAATTTATAAGTTATATACCACTGTTATTCACTTTTAGTAACTGTATACACATCTAACTAACTAATTTGTAAGGTTGAGTGCGTAACACTCTTGGTTCATTTATCCTTACCAAATATGTAAATAGTATGTGTGTAAGAGTTACTTGTTTGACTTTTTTCTCATTCCATACCCTCTTACATAGATATACTTGCACACTACCTTAAGGTATGGTGCTTGACATATGTGAAGTAAGATATAAAGAAGTGCTTGATGCTAAAACACTAGTTTTTCTGCTTCTTTTCTCTCATAATATTGGCTGCCAATTTCGAGTTTTTGGAGCTCATTTCTCCCTCTCTTATTCTTGCATTTGGTGCTAGAATAAAGGCTCTTAGTTGGTTCTCTTTTGAAGTTATATTTGATATATACTTTTAAGGATTAAGAACAACTAATACATAAGTGAAGACTAGCATCTTTTGTGATATTTCATTGTTTGGTGGATATATTATATAGAGTTTCTTCTTTAGAGTTTTATGTCATCATCATCATCAACTTTCTAATTATCAAAAGGAATCAAAGTTTTCAAAGATCGTAAACATCTTCTTTTTTATGGTTGTTTTAATTTTTTTAAGCCTTGGAAAATGATCATTAGTGGGAAAATGGTTTTAATTTGTTCAAATCTAAAATTGCTTTGTTGCTAATCATGTCTTTTTTTACATTATAATTAGACTATTTTAGAATAAAACCAAAAAGGTATAACAGTTTCAAACATTATAATTTGTCTTAAAAAATATCAAAGCTTACTCTTTAATATCTAAAAGGCTTTATTAAAGCATTTCAAAATAGTTTATTGGGCTTGAAGCATCTCCAACTCCATCTCTTAACCAGTATTACTTAGAACATCTCCAACTCTACTTTTAAGCAACTACATTTTACCCTCTATAAATAAGAAATAAATAGTGACGGTCTATATTTGGAGTGTTACTATTCATTCCCTTAAATAAATAGTGACGGTCTATATTTGGAGTGTTACTATTCATTCCCTTTATAGTGTGTAACTTTCTTATTGTTACATTTGATTCCTCTACTTTGGTATGTATATATGTATTTTGTTTATTTAACTTTAATTTTGTTTTTATGTGATTTGAAATATTTAATTAAATTGTTATATTTTCAAATATATTTAAAATTTTAATATTTTTATAAAACATAAAATCGACATATGACAATATTTCAGAAAAATTCAAATTGGCACACACATATTTCACAAAAATTCACATTGACATTCACAAATACAATCGATGAAGATATTCAATTTCAACAAATTCTTGCTCAGTATAAATGCATAAAAATAAAGAAACTCATTTCCTTCTATTCTATGAAATTGATCATTTGTGGAAAAGATATTCCAACATATGAATATTTAGTATTTATTTAAATGTATGTGCAATATTTCTTTAAACATATTGTAATATTTCTTCAAATATAAGTATAATATTTCTATAAACGGATGTGTGCATTTTTTTAATATACAATAAACAAAATTATTTATTTAATAAAATATTTGTTTTATTAATATGACAATTAACTTGAATTATTTTCCTACAAACATTATATTTTGGTTATATTTATTCAATAATATATATTGTAATGGTGTCGTAACAAAAAGATGCTGGACAATTTTATAAAACCTTATAATTAGAAGGGTATTTATAAAAATATAAAAAGCTTGCTGAAAGAGATTATTTTTGGAATATTTTTTGTATATAAAATAGATTCAAATAAAATGAGGTTGAAGATTAATCATTCTATACTATATTTTATTTTAGAATGTAAAAATAAAGTGTAAATACATATGCTCTTATCTCCATTATATAATTGGTCGATCCTAATTAACTTAATTACAGTTTGATCGGTAACTTATTCCAAAAGTTAAGGCCCATTAGAGTTAGTTGACGGATGTAAATTTAATCAAATACACTCTTTTAAGCGGCATCAAAAGAATGAAAGATCATAACTTCATTCAGAATCAGTTTTAGCCCAATTAAAACATATGATTATAATAGCTTGATCGAATAAAAAGTAGATCCATTTATATGTATAAATACATATATTATGCATTTAATTTAATGTGTACTATTTTGCTAGGATAAAATGGTGATCGCAGTGCTTTTTCCCGAATTGAATAACTAACAGACAACCAATAGATCTAAATTAATATGTTACTGATAAAAGGTTACTTATCAAGTCTCAATCATGGCAAGGCTTACAAAATTTATTTTCGTGATCTGAACACTTTGAGATTATCTTCTCATGACTATGTGTAAAGAGTTTAGGTCAAGGTTATCCACCATTTTATTCTGGTAAAACTTTATAATGTGTAGACCCAAAACAAAATGTCAGGGTAACACACCGGAAAGCTACACTACGTTGAAAAAAAGTTTTAAAAATTTTCAACTACATCTAAAATTTTGAAAAAAAGTTTTAAAAATTTTCAACTACATCTAAAATTTTGAAGGATAGCACGAACTACCATGTGCTCCCACTAAGGTCCACCACTGACTTAATACAAATCCATCAATCATCATAGCTTTCAACTGCTCCCATGTTTTTTACTAGCTCCTCGCTAACTTGGTGTTCGGTAATAAAAATCTTTCTTCTTGCAAGCAAAAAAGAAAAAAAAAAGTATATTCGGTTTCTAAATGGCGTGTTAGGCTTTACTTTTCTGTTTTGATGTTAATATGAAATATGAATTCACTTGGCCATGCAAAGTAATAAGTAAATATAAATAGTCAATCAACCAAAGTCAAAAAAAAAAAAAAAAAAATCGAAATAACCTCTTAGTATGTCCTTCAGACAATTTTTATAATGATTTTTATGTGTTAGGTGTAATATATTGTGTAGCATAACATTTTCATAATGACCTATTAGGTCTCGGGGATTAATTATGTGTACAATATATGATGGAGTTGCCACATGTCCATAACTTGATCATGAACCAATTAATTATGTCTGGTTCTAAGTAATTATCAATTAAACACACATATAGGAGGACATACATGAGGCATTAACGGTTCTTCCCTTTCATATTCTAAATCTTCTCTGTATGCGTAGTTTCATACATTAAAATCGATCAGCAAATATAATCTACTTCTTAATTCACTCCTCAACTTCAAGGAAAGACGAAAACACCCGATACGCTGGGCTGGAAGTCATTTGGTATCAAAATCGATCACTAAAACACCATTATACGGAAACTGAAATGATCATAATGTGGCATCATCATCTTCAACATCATTGAAGTTATCATTGATCCCTTCAAGTATTTGTTCTTCAATTTAAGGTTCTTCATGTTTATGCACAAAATTGAACTTAAATTAAGCCTTATTATCAACACTTTCAGCAACAATGACAATATGTTTATGTTTCAACTATCGTTAACATAGATAACATAGCCATCTTCGTTGGATACCAATAACAGATGCAATACCACACTAGAATTCAGAGGGTGTTTGGATAAGCTTGAAAAAAAGAAAATTTTTAAACTTATTACTCATTCCACACCGGTATAAGTTAAAATGAGTGTTTGGATAGACTGTTTTTTTAAATAATTTATAGCGGTGTGGAACTCAAAATAAATCATTTTTTATAAGTTACTAACCCATAACTTATCAAAACTCCTTATAACTTATTGATGTCTAACATCTCTAGGAAGTCTTTTTTTGATCATTTTGCCAAACATGTACTAAAAATGGTTTATCATCAACTTATAATGTTTTGACATCAGATAAGTTAATCCAAACATTTTTTAAAAACTCTGATTTTATATAACTATAACCGCTACAAGTTAAAATGTTAAAAAATTAAAAACTTCTGTTAATAAGTACAGCCAAACACCCACCCTCTAGTTATTGTTTCGGTCCGAGTTGACTCTTTTTATGCATTGGATTTGATCGACGCTATATTAATATCAAGCAGCAACGTGGACACATTTGCAGCCATTTGATGACAACTTGCTAGTAAAGTATCAGAAGAGATAATGTATAAAAGCCACATCCTTTATTTCACACATCATAATTCATATCCATTATATTTACGTATATATGCAAAAACTAAATTAGATCATGCTAGTTTTGAGCCGTTAGATCTATTTTGAACAGTGTCAACCATGAATCAGTTTGACCATGTTCAAGTTGTTGGCTGTGACAGAAGTATATGAAGTGATAAAATCACATTTTTTAAATACTTATCATCATAAAACCGACCTAGCTTGTTTTATTTTTTAATATCAAAATACAAAAAATAATGTTAGATCGATGGATTTTATATGCATGTATCATATGTGAGCGGATGGAAATAGTGTAATTGATAAGAGCATGGGCATGGGCATCGATATGGAGACGTGGGCTTTCCATTTTCTACGAGATTTTCTCTTCCCCAATAAAATATTCTTTAAATAATAAAAACATATATTTAACCTTTAACAAGTTAGACATCATGCATCATAGCTTGTACGTTTACTTGATGTACAAATTTAAATCCATACAAAACGATAGGGAAGAACTTCCAATTCAATTCTATTTTGTATACAATTAGATGATATATAAAACAATGTTGAAGGGTCCACCTTCAATCCATAACCCTTAGAAGTTTATTCATATTTTAGTCAATCATTCATTTTAACTTATTACGCCATTAAAGCCAACCCCCACCTTCTCTCTACATTATATCAAATTTCAGAATCTGAGCTCTGAGGACTTTGCATGCAACCAGAGTATGGAACCAACTTTGCCTGTTCTCCCAAGAATCGATCGTCTCGATCGACTGGTAATCTATTCATTTCTTTTGATTCATATTCTGTTTATTGAACTTGGCTTCACACACATCCAACTCTTTTCTCAGTTACAGAAGTTAGAGGAAAAACATAGCAAATCAACAAGATTTGGATCTACTACAACCAACAATGGCAGTCATGATGATGATGACGATGATGATGATTATGATCATGGAGACAACCATAAAGAGAAGCTCGAGGAGCAGACGAATTGCAAAACATTATTGTCTGCCCTTGACGATGTTCATCACAAAGGCACTCTTATTGATCGACTTTCCATGCTCGAGAATCGTGTGCTAAAGGTTTTACCTCACTTGGATTTGACCATTTATGTAGAGGAATTAATAGTGTTGTAATGATTTGTGCTAGATTTGATTTTGTTTGTTTGTTTTGAAAATGGTATGATTCAAGAATTTGATGAAATCGTTCATTTCGCAGTTGATTTTAGATATGGAAGAGAGGAGCACATCAAGATCGAGCTCGTCGACTGCTTATGCCACAAGGGTAGAGCTTCTTTCATATATGAGCAATTATTCTTCCATTTCCTTTTTAGCTATTTTATTATTATATATATTTGAATTGTTAGATATAAGATACAAACTCATGTTATACCATTAGTAAATGTAACCAAGCTAAAATTACCATCTCCAGTTGACCAATTTTATCTTTTTTTTAATATACTTACATAGTTATATTCACATTATGACATGATTTTACAGGAAGAAAATGAGTTCCCACTTAATAATTGTGCTAAAAAAACAATCGGCGAAGGAAAGAGGAAGGTAAACTTAAAATGGATGAGGTGGTTTTCTGTGAGATGCTAGTTTCCGTTCTCCCAGTTTATGCTTTTATCACTTCATTAGAAACATTATGATATGTTTAACTAATCGATAGAAGAACACACAAATACTTATATAGTTAATAATTACATTTGTGTAATATATAAAACAATGTTAAGTTAATTAGCCATCATTAGTTAAAACAATGTTTATGTAGACTTTTCTCTTTTAAAAATAAGAACATATTATCTTTTGATGTATTACACGTTCTGGGTACTATTTCAACATGATAACATCTAATTATCGAAGATATCATGCAAGTTATCAACTTGATTTTTTACCTAGTATATACCACAATCACCAAGATTCCAACCAAGCAAAAACTCAAGCATAAGAATGATATGCACTAAAATGATATCTCATTTACCAATTAATATATAATCTACTAGACTATAGTTGTGTTACACAATCTACTTTTTATTTCTAATATCACAATTTGAGAGAGTATGGGGTTGGGCTTGAAGTGAAAATATCTCAATGAGGTAAATACGATATTGCTTATTTATTTTTCATCGTAAAGACAAATATAACATACTCTTAAACTACTCATAATACCATTTATGTTCCTGACAAGACTGTTTCCCGCAACCTCAAAAAATAAAGACAACATCAATTATCGTTAGACTAGAAGCCCTTTGATATTTATTTTACATCCTAATATCATATTTATACTTCTTTCGCCAAATGATATCCTTCCATTTGAATCTCAAAAGTTGATACAACAAATTAATACATCTTGTCTTCTCATGATTAAGCAATTATTTTACAATAACAATCAAAATTTATCTACTCAAGCGACTTTTTTTTTTTTTTTTTTTTTACCTCAATTACTTAAATTTAGATTAGCACAATTATTACATGAGGTGTCTTGGAAGTATTATAACATTTTTTTTTTTTGGAACAACTAGTTATACTAGGGGTGTGCACCAAAACGTATAAGATATTCACCACTCAATATATATTGAGTCATCAATATAAATATACAAAAAACAATTAATTCCAATTGTATTAAATGAAAATAAGTTAGCAATCAATAATAAAAAGCTCTAAAATATGTCCCCACTAGAGATGCTCTAAAGATCGATCCTCATTAAAGACCAGATTTTATTTTGTCAGACTCTTAAATTCATCACAGATAGACTCTTAAATCCATTGCATGTTCTAACATCCAAAATATTCAACAAATTTAAACTTTTCAAAACGACCTCTTTTTTTATTAGAAATATTACAAAACGCATTGTTTTCAACGTTATTTAAAATCAGAGTCTCCCAAGATCTCATTAGTTGTAAAACCAAGGATGTGTACGGTCACGCATTCGCCTTGCTACGGTCCACTAAAGTACCTCAAACCATAAACCAAAACTGTAACCACGAAGCTTAGTGAGTTTCCCCCCAAAATACCACCGCACAAACATATAACATATATTAACAAACAACATGCATACAGAGCCTTCAACCTAACCGGACCGTTTCGCATGCCTAAAGACTATCTGGACCGCTCACAGAACCTTCAACATGACTGGACCGCCTCACCAAGCCTTCAGCCTATCTGGACCGTCTATGAGCCTTCGGCCTGACTGGTCTGCCCCACATGCCTTCAGTCTATCCGGATCGACATGGGTTTGTTGACATTTAGCACAAAGTAGGATCGCCTCAACCAAACCACATATAAACCATGTCGACATACACATAACAGATAAACATAGATATAACATATCGATATCAACTTTATCAGGTTTGTTGAGAGAATTGAGAATAGAGATAGGATGGTTGTTTTCTTCTTTCCACTATTACTTACTATGGGATGGTTGTTTTCTTCTTTCCACTATTACTTACTTTGTTGCAGATTTGGTGAGCTATCGTGAGTAGGATGATGAGAGAATAGAGTTAGGAGCGTTCGAGTAAAGTCGTGTCGTTTAGATTCAAGATTCGAGACCCCTGATTTTTAATAAGTATGGGTTTAATTTCATAAGAAAATAAAGAGAAAAGGGAAGAGTTAAAGAAATCATAGAGTTTTGGAAGGGCCTAAAAGCATTTATATATTCATTTGCATCGAAGAATTATTGTGCAAATACATTCTGTGAAACCCAATTTACACGACGTGGACCATAACTCCACGTCGTGAACCTAGAACCCATCATGATATCAGAGACAATTTCAATCGATAACACGTCGTGGATTCCAATACCATGACATGATCTGCATAATTGGGATGTTCCTTTTCTCTAAACCATAAAATGTGGCGTATGCTTTCCCACATTGATGAACTATGCTTTGAAGATTTTCTACACTACATTTGTTGAAGTTTCAAGTCTCAGATTCACATTTCGTCAGCACATTCACATATCTCAGATGATCCACATTCACATATTCAAGATGTTCGAAGTTATCCATACTTTTATAATCGATCTCGCCACTACTACCCCACGGGAGTCTGTTCTTTTTTCTCCATTTTCTTGCGTTTAAATTATTTTATGCATATAATGAGGGCATTGTATGTAATCAGTATGGGGCAGGGGGTCAAAAAAAGTAAATTGCTAGGAAATTTTAAATTTTAAAATAATAATAATCTAAAAATTGAATCTAATTTAAAGTTAAGTTGCTAGTTTTATGTGGGATGATCCAATGCGAGCTCAAATGTTTAATTGAGCAAACATATGTTATAGTATATCTGTGGCTTTCCATTTCCTTGTGAAAAGCCATGAGATATGAAAGGTAATCTGGTAGTTTATATGCCATAATGTGTTTTGCAGCTTAACCCTGAAATCTATCTAGCAGAGCTTATGTAGTCACTGCACTTAGACTAATGCCTCTAACTGTAACATACATAAAATATGGTTTCGAAAATTTCATTTTTAATTATTAAATAAAAACATAGTTATCAAAACATCCGTCAAAAACATAAGTCAAATTATCCAAAACATTATAATCAGAGTATCCATATCAAAAAAATTAGAGTAAACATCCCAAACTAAAACATCATGGTTTGTGTAATGCAGTCATCCCGAGCTTTTCCCTTTACTACCAGAAGTACTGAAATCAAAACTGAAAATCGTAAGCACGAAGCTTAGTGAGTTTCCCCAAACTACCACATATCATACACATAATCACATATAAACATATCGTGGGCCCCGCTCCTTCATCGAGCCCCGCCCAGCAACGGACAGTGTCCGACATCGGGTCTCGCCCGACATCGAGCAAAGCTCGGTATACATATAAACATATCAACATATACACATAGAATAATCACATAACATAAGCATATAAATATTCCTCGATCGCCGCCCGACAACGATTCGTAATCCGGAAAGCATATAAACATTCCTCGAGCATCGCCCAACATCGGACCGTAATTCGGAAACATATAAATACAGACACATGAAAGAATCACAAAGACATCACGCATACACACATTCCTCGGGCACCACACGACATCAGATCGTAATCCAAAAACATATAAACATACACCGAGCACCACCCGAAATCGGACCTTAGTCCATAATACATACAATCATAAATATAGGTCGGCATTGGTGCCTTCGACCCGTTCAAACAAGAGGAAAAATCACATCGCACTATTGAAGTCCCACGAATAATTCTCTGGTTGTTGGTTGACAAATCCCCGACTTGGGGTGAAAAGATCATTTCACCCCTAAGCTAGCTTGGTCCAATACCAAGGCCCAAACTCACACTCTGAAGGCCCAAAAGCCAAACAATTAACCAAGGCCCAATTATGGTCCAATTTTCCAAATTAGGCCCAAACCCCTCACATGGTCCTTATCCTAAAGCCCATCCAAACATTCTAGTCCATATACTTGTTCTTGGATGGCCTACTAAGAACCTAAACACCTAAGCCAAAATAAAAGGCCCAACACGAAGCCCAACATAATTAGGGTTTTCACATAAATTGCTGATTAGGGTTAAGTTTTCTTACTTAACCCATTATGGACTTAATCCATTAAGTCCATCACTCCACTAGGACAAACATACAATCTAATCGGGCGTAAGTCATAACTTCAATCCACTAGTCCAAACGCAGGTCCCGACAAATCCAAAGCTAACATCTCCAAAATTAGGGGTTTCTAAACCCTAATTAGGGTTTCCAACCCAGTCACAAGCCAATTAATACAATGGTTAGGTTTTTAGGTCAATTAGGGTTTCATTAGGTTGGACACCACCCACCGTCACCTCGGGCAGTGGTGGTTCGCGGGCCGTCACCACCTCACGGTGGTGGTGGTTACGGTATTAGGCCCAAAAACATCACACGCTTATCACTCATCATCCCAAATACATACACAAGCCCATAGCCACATAAGGTTGTGGCTGATGGCGGTATAATGGCGGTATGAGGTGGCAGCCACCACCTTATGGTGGTGATGGTGGGTTTTCCTTGGTTTTCTGGCCACAAATTGCTAATATAACAACACACCATAAAAAACGCATAGATACACCATAAATCACACACGCACAACCACCTTCCATGGTGGCTAGTGGTGACAGAAAAGAAAAAGTGGCGGCAGTCACCACGGTTGGCAGCCATGGTGGTTTTCTCGTTCTCCGGCCAACAAACACCTGCCCAAGATATTGAAACACGCACACACACATGGGAAGAACAACCACCGCATAGCTGCACATTGAACTTGGAGGAGGACGGCGGCTGAGGAAATAGCTATAGCGGCGACGTTGGCGATTACTGGACAAAAAGATGGCGAAGGGCGATCGGAGTAGCACCATTAACTAACGTGATGCGTCTGTGGATGGCGACAGAAGAAGAAGAAGAAGAAGAAGAAGAAGACAATGGAGGAATGGTGGCAGCGGATGTACTCACGATGGCCGCTCGATCTTGCCATAAGGGAAGGCAACTGTGATGCTCGGCGGCTTGACTGATCGGAAAAACGAGCGAGATGGGTGGTGGCGGCTGAAGGGGTTACACACGGCGGCTATCTTCTGCCCAGGGTTAGGGTTCAGTGATGCAAAGAGAGGGAAAAGAAGGCACCAAGTTTAATCCCGTGTTCCATTCAAACTTCATACGAATTTGACACAACTGGTCCCTCCCACTCAGAATCTTTTCAAAACAAATGCATAAGTTACCATTCAGCCCTCAGCATTCCAAAATCCTTTCAATTTAAGTACAATATTTTACCAAACACCCTCTGAC